CGGAGGGGCGCCAAGGCAGGTTCCCGGGGGCCAGGACACGGTGGGGTGGCGGAGGGGGGATGCTGCTCGCGGGGCAGTCAGGATTGCCCGGAGCGAGCAGCGCGGTGCCAGCGGGCTGAGTCCGAGACTGGTCCCGCGGCCCCCAGGGGCAATCCGACCCACTAACAGGGTCTTGAGGAAGGTCTGGGGGGCCTCTACCCCACACCTGCCCCACGCTTGTCTCCCAGCTGCCCGACACGGATATGCAGCACCCTGGTAGCCACTGGGTTGTGGGACCCTGCCAAGGTTCAGGTAATCAGTTAATCTACTTAATTGTCCGGCTGGAAAACTGCCCACCCTGCCAGGGCTTGAGCTGGCAATGGTACGGCCATGGCGTCAAAAAGTCACATCAGCTCAGGAACATGTCCTGCATGGTGACACCTGCACTCCAGCTCCCTGCCTGCACCTCAGCAGTGTTTGAGCCGCCGAAGCCTTGGCAAAGTCCTGCCATCACCATCGCTCTTCTCTCGTCAGGCCAGCAGGGACATGTGACACCTCAGGTCCCCATGGCAGCACCTGTATGCTGGCAGCAGCACACAGTGCCCCACGCCTGCTCCCTGCCACCTCTCCATTCTCGGGGCAATGTGTTCACCACCAGTGCATGAGGCATTTCTGGTCCCTGATCCACACTCTTCTGTGGGATCAGGGGGCTCCGGCAGCCAGTTGAGCACAGGGTCCAAGAATCTGGGCAATGCCGGCACCCTGGGCCCCAGAAAGCAGGCGGGGCAGGCAGCTAGTCTGGGGATTAGTGCTGGAGAGGCCGCACAAGGGGAGAGTGCAAAGTGATCCTGCACCACACCACGCACTGCCAGCACTGAGCACCACCACAGCTGGATGGTCTCATGCTGAGGAAGGTGCAGCTGCAGTGCTGAGTGTGCAGTGGGACTATGGGAAGAGAGCAGGATCTAAAGCACCTTTAGCACAACGCAGGAGCACAGCAGCCACCTCCACATCCTCGGTGCTGTCAGAGGTTTCCTCCTCTGCCAAGTGACTCACTGGCAGATGAAATGCTGAGCCCTCTACTCTGTGCTGCTGCAGCAGCCACCTGCCTGCTGCTTGCTCAGCTGGGGATGCTGGGTGGAGGATGCAACCAGTTCTCTCAGCCCCTGTGCCCATGGCCACCTGGGTGTCACAGGCTTTTGATCACTGTTTTTCCCATTCTCCTGGGTTCTTCCCCAAGAAAGCTCCAAAACTCCAGGTTCAGAGTTTCAGAAAAAGTTGCCCTGATTAAATGCCCTGACAGACTGGAACGCAACTTATCTTTTTTTCCTGACCAATGTATGTGTTTTATGGTTCTGCCCTGTGCCCTCCACACTTCTTCTTGGCTGTGCTGCAGGCACCCTCCCTGGTTGAAAGGTGGGGCAAGACCCCTACAAACATCGGTACTGGTAGCTCTGTGGAGGCAAAGGCCTGGAGAAACCACACATACCTGGGGTATGGCTGATGCAGCGAGGAGCCAGTGACAGTGAGCTGGGAGTACAGGCTGGGAGGCAGGACCAGTTCCACCAGGATGCAAGCAGAGTGTCTGGGGAACCTGCTGCCATGCAGCATGCATGCTTCCATTTTTGTCCAGTAAGGCTGGGAGAGGAGCTGCCATTGTCACAGCCATATTGGGTCAAATGCTCTTGTTGGCAGCTAAAATCCCGGAGGAGACCCTGAGTGGAAAGGGGGACTGTGGGGACCAGGGTGGCACCCTGGGGCTTCATCCCATTCACCAGGGAAGTTGTCCTATGCAGGGGGAGGCATTGCTGGCTGCTCTTGCTGTTACACCTCCATCTCCAGGGATTTTGTTTTGCACTCTGTTCCAATGTGTGCATGTGGCAAGGCACTGCAGGGGTCCCCAGGGCGGCCCTGCATCGCCCCCCACGGCACTGAGGCTCCATCTCGGCTTGCCAAGGAGCCAGTCCCTGCTCTGCCTCTGCACAGGGGCTTGCAGCAGACACCTCCAGAGGTCCCTCCAAGCTCAGCCATGTGCTGCCGAGCTCCCTGCATCCAGACCAGGGGCTGCACAGACACCTGCACCCGTCCTTGCCAATCCCAAAGTGCACAGGGTGGGAAGCCCACAAGGCAGGTTTTGCCCAGCAAAGGCCGTGCTGGGGCTGCTGGGGAGGCGGGTACACAAGGGCAATGTGAAACAAAACAAATAGCCATTGCTACTGGCAGCCATCACCAACCACTTCTGCTGACAGGGGTGTCCTGGGGCTCTGGAGGCTCCCCATCTCTGACTACCACCCCCCACTTTCTCCTTGTTAATTAACATCACTGGACCAATGTTAAATCAGAAGGGTGAAGGTTTCCATCTTTAAAAACCAGAGAGGAGCTAAAAAAAGAATCCTGACAATTCCACAATCCAAGGAAGTTAAAACAGCTAAAGAGCAGCTGCTTGTTCTCCTGCTGGGACAGAGAGGACTCTGCCTCTCCCCCCCAAAAAAATCAACAACATAGAGACATTGGGCTTTGGTGAACATGAGTTTATTAAAGACAGAAAAAGGGATCCCAGCCATTTTCCTTGGAATGACAAAGCTGGATAATTTGAATTTGTGGCAATACGGTTTTGTCAACACCAAAATGTTTCTTTTGCTGGTAACATTTCAGATCAAAAATCAAATGTGACACAAATGCCCGAAGCAGTGGGAGCTGCCCACAGTCACAGCTGGGTACCCTGAAAAGAGTTGCTTTGTGAGAATTTGGACTGTCTAACATCTCATCTGCTGGATCTACCTGTCCCATCTTTGGTCTCTCAGAACCACTGCCCTTGAAAAGGGTATGTTGGAGAATTACTTAATCAGCCAAGAGATACAAAAGACAAATAAAGTAGAAACAAAATAATGTCCTGGAATCTCTGAAACCGAGGAATTTAAGCCTGTAAGGAGAAGAGATACAATAGTGGATGATCCTGAGATGATGTGGTTTGGTTTTCCTCAGTTAAACCTGTCCCTGCCCAAAGTTCACAAACAACTCCTGAGACAAATCTGAACCTGATGTAAATCAACTAGAACAACACTACTCTACTAAAATCCTGAACTTTTACAGAACAAACCAACACAAATACTACAAGTAAGAAACAGAGTGAAGCCTCTGGCCACAGAGATAACATTATATAGATCTAGCTGAGTAGTTTCCAATAGATCTCAAATCTGACTGAGCTGACCCTCTGCTCTGCCTGCCCTCTCCTCCGTGGGAATGTCAGGTACTTCATTGCTGTGTAAATGCTAAGGTAACTCAAGCCCATGGCATCTCTGCTGGGAGCAGGGAAGTAAAGCAATACAAATTCTTCAGCTTTCCAAGCCAGGGGAGAGCCCTGTTTAGATCCCACATAGTCCCTTACAATATCTCAAACTGGGCAATAGCATTTTCAAGCATCCAGGCTAGAGTCTTGCCTCTGACTAAGCAGGTAACACACTTAGAGGAATAAACTGCAACTGAAATGTTCATTCACTAAGGGCTCCAAGCATGAAACAAACCCCTTCAATCAGAAGAATCACAATCAAACAGTAAAGAGCAACAGTCTGTGTTCTGCTGAGCCAGTGGATTGACAGGATGTGGTTTCTTGGAGCTTGAGGGGCTTTGGAGGCTGAAACAGCTCATTTTCTTTACACCCTTTGTGCTACACAAGGAAAGTACATCCTCCTCAGGAGAGGAATTCAAGAGATACCTTTTTACACTGGAAACATTAATTGTATTTTTAGTTTCAGGACTTCTCTTTCTGCTTGCAAGTTGTTGCAGGCTTTTATCAGAGCGTGGCACTGGTGGGAAACTCTTTGTAAGCCCCAGTTGAGCACTGTTGAGGATCTGCTGATGAGGAGCTGCAAAAACCAGGTCAGAGTTTTCTGAATTGAGATCAACCAAGTATCTGGGAAGGGATTTTTTTCTGGAGCTTTCCCAGTCAATAATCCCATTTGCCTTCCTTTGCTTCAGCCCACCGTCAGCACATCCAGAGTGTTCGCCTTTTTTCTTAGTGGAGCAGGTTTTCTTTCTCCCTATTTCTTTTTTCCAGGACATCCTTCCTGGACTCTGTTTTGTTTTGTTCCCTACAGCTGCCTTTTCCACCTCGTGGTCTGTGAACCAGTCGCCGTGTCTTTGCCTAGGTGTAGCTTTCTGTGCAGAATGGTGGCAAACTTGAGGCTGCTGCTGCTGTGATGGTGTAAGGGGTTTAAACCCTCGAGTGCCTCTCCTGAATGCCTTTCTCAGTGGGGTTGGTAGAGGCACTTCCAGTGGTACAGCATCTTGTTTCTTCTGACTATTCCCCAAAAAGTGTCTGCCAGCCCAGCACATGCAAGGATGGTCAGCACAGCTCTGTGTCTCCAAACTACATTTCACCTCCTGATAAAAGGTGTTATCTCTGCCACAGGCTGCTGTAGCAATGAGGCTGGCTTTGTCTCCTGAGGCTGAGTTTAGGTTAGATGTGCTATCTCCAGTGACCTGGTTCCTTCCAGGAGAGTCTTCCTGTTGCTGCCCTGCTGTCACACAGGGGAAATGAGACCAGCCTGAGCAGCTGCAAACTCCCCTGCCTGGGCAGCATGGCCTGTGTGGGTGCTCCTTACTCAGGACACAGTGCTGGCACAGCCCAGGGTAGGTCTGGGATGACTTATCTATCATGTGAGGGGGCAGGCTGGCACTAGACGCAAGTGTATGCTGCTCAGCTGAGCTATTATATAGCTTCGGGAAGCCAAGTTCTTTACACACTTCCAGGAACTGGTCTTTCAGCTGGGCTGGCAGTGACTCCACACCCTCCTTCAGCAGCTGGATACTGGATTTCATATCCAAAATCTCCATATCTTTCTGGGGAAGCAGAAGGCAAAGCAGAAGCAGTAAAAAACACACAAAAAAAGCACAATAGTAAGAAAGTTTTTTTTTATCATGTGTCAGTTTGTTATTGACCCAAAGGTTAGCAATTGTATCTTCCTGTGTAATAGATATCCTCAAAGTATCCCACAAAGGTGAGAGGTTTGGGATTGGAGATCCCCCTAACCCACCGTGTGCCCCCTCTCCTAGGAACACTGCCTTCTCACACGCTGGTGTGATACATCTTTGCCAAAAGCAATTCCTGCAACAGGGCCTTTGGAGAAATCAGACCCGATCAGGAGGTCTTTGACAGTTCATTCTTGTATCTCTCACATCCACTTGTTTCCTTTTCATGTCTTTTTTCCTCTCCCTGGCAGAAGGGACAAGGTGCTGCACTTTTGCGAGGTGCTTTCCCCTCACAGACATGCACTGCACCATCTCCTCCAGCAAAGGCATGTGTCAGGTGAGGAAGCACTGAGTGCTCCTCACTCAGGAGCTGTGACAGCTCAGGCACACAGCCTGCTGTATGCGTCAGGCACACAGCCTGCCACAACAAGGCACTGTTGGCTTCTTCTCTTACTGACGGGGATTTCATCAGAGCTTACAGCACTGTTAGCCAGTGCTTGGGTAAGCCTCTGTCAGTGTCTGGCCTAGAATTAGCATTTTAATATATCTTTCCCCTTTCATTATAACAGGAGCAGTCTGCTTTATAATCCACCATTCAAAGGCAATTTAATATTCGGTCAGTATTTTGAAGAAGCAGGAGAGATTCAGAATGAGCATTCAGAATAAAAGATTAATTTCTTCACTTACGGCTGCAAGTCTCCTCTCCATCTCCAGCAGTGCCTGCTCCATTTGACTTTTATCTGTCAAAGCTTTCAGCATCAAGCTAGAGTGACTTTGAAGAGCATCTTCCACTAAACAGGGAAATCAATAAAAACCACATTTGGTCTTTCATTTGTAAATGTGAATAAACTGCCATCAGTACTATTGCTACTTTCTGCATGGCTTGGCATGAATCACCATATGAATTCTCCTGCTGTGATCTCCCCAAACCCTGAGCAATGAGCAATGGGGTGGATTTTTAATGCAAGACACTTGAAATTTATAAGACGCTGCACATAGGCCAAACCTCATTTACTGCCCTCTGGTAATGTGGCAGCTGGAGAAGAGAGGCTGTGCAAAGCTGCAGAATTTGGTAGGCTGAAAGCAGGGAAGGCTGAGACTTGGTTGTCTGCCAGGTGCACAACAGGCATGGCCAAGGCAGGGGGACCCCAGTATAGCTGATCCACCCCTGTATAAACAACACTCTCATGCAACCAGGTGATGGTAAATGGGGCTTGAGCAGGATGGAGGTGTAAAAGGTTAATGGCTAAAAAGGGCAACCAGAGAAACTGTGTCAAAAATGCACAGAAGGCTGAAAACTGAAGGAAAAATGCTGGAAGGAATAGAGGGAAGTTATGAAGGAGTGTGCAAAGAATTGGAATTTCCATTTTCTGGTCATGGGAAAAGATGGGGTCAGAAACCACCTGAATCAGGCAACTGTGCACAGCACTTGGTAGTGGGGGCCCCAGCAGAGTCTTGTGGAGGCACAGGCTCCCTGCGAGGGTTTCAAATTGGAGCAAGTTGCTCTTGGGTTCAGTCAGCCTTGTTGAAAAACTGATAAAACAGGGATTTGTGTTATATGATTGGATAAGAATATAACTCCCCCATACAGCTTCAATTACTCTAATAGGAACCACTGCTGCGCCTAATACACTACAGGATGGGAACACAGTTTGCAGTGTGTGTGTGGAGATTGGAGATGAAAAATCTTTAGCAATCTTGTGGAAGTCTACTTTAAAATTGTAAATTAGGACAGAGATAAAGAGCTGAGAAAGAGCAGAGAGAAAGAGCTAAACATGTCTGGTTTTTCCTGTGAAGGGTGCAGGAAGGTGTGTACAGATGGTGTGGAATGTTGGCTGGTTGTCATAAAGCAGGATCCAAAGCACTCTTGCTAAAGTAAAGCACTGCCAAACCAATGGGCCAAGATAGCTGAAAGCCTGGAGTGCTGGAGTACTGCATTCCTGATAAAAATCAGAATAAAGCCTACATTTCAACAAGTTGCTACAAGAGCTCTGCAATTAATGAATCTTCTTTTGATACAGGTCCAAGGTGTTTGATTGACTTTGAGGTCAGAGGAGCCATCTGCAGCTGTTCCTGCTCACCAGTGTTGATCTCAGCTCCTCGGTGTGCACCTCTTGCCCCACAGTGCTGCGCTCACAGGCTGCAGAGCTGCAGGGCACTGGGGATCCCTTCTCCTCCTGCTCAGCTATTTTCATTAAGCTTCCAGGGACTTAATTATCTCAGCGAGCTGTGCCCTTCTGTCAAACTGTCAATGGAATTTGTTAAAGAGCTAAAAACTATTAGCAGCAGGCAGAAAGTGATTGTACAGGCTTTGTTTCTGGGAAAAAAAACCAGGGATGTTTTAAAATTTTGAGAAGGAATAAAGGAAAAAAAATCTGAGCAGTTATGGGCTTAGTAATTTGCTCTCATATGGTGGAAGGTTTTAGAGCAGACTTTGAGGAGAAAAGTACTCAAAGATATGGAGAGAAATTGAATAAGAACAAGATTTTATAAAAGGTGGATTGTGATTTAATGCACTAAGACAAGACAGGTGACTTTTTTGACAAAGACAACACAGTGGCTATTCTGTAGATTCAAACAAAGCTTTTCAGTAGAAGTTATCATGTAATATAAAAAGGAAAAAAAATGAGGGTAAACTTAAAAAACAAGCCTCAACTAAAGGGGAAACATCAGCTCTTGAGCTGAGTGGAATGAGGGGACAAGGCATCCCTGAAAGAAGCTCACCAAGGCCTTCTCATGAGCTAACCAGGCTTAAAATCTGCTTTAGTCACCTTGGTACAAAAGCCAAAGGGCATTCAGTTAATTAGCAAGTAACATGAGGATGCAAATGTCAGCAGCAGAAGCTACAGGTGAGACAGGGCAGTGTGGTGCGTGGTAGTGCACCAGCTCTGGCTAACAGAACTGCTATGCACCCCAGGGTGTCTGGAAGCTCACACACCTTCCCAGCTTTCTGTGTGCAAGGAAAGAAAGAGACTGAACTAAGACATGGGCAGAGAAAAGCTACAAGTTAATTAAGTGCTTACATGGTAATCTCCTCTTATGAAAGGAGATTGAAAGTGTTTGTCTCATTCAGCCACGCAAAGCAGAGGTGTGGGGTGGCACAGGGCTGGAGGTGCCGCTCAGGGATGAACATGAGGAATGGCACCTCCTGGCACCAGGAATTCCCTGTGCCCAGATGTGTTTTTGACTTTGCCTCCTCTGAAGGAGTCCTGCTTGGGCACAGTACACACAGCTGTCTTTTGGGAGAAAGGAACCCTGCAGTTCCCTCATCCATGCATCATCCTCACATACATTAAATTAAAACCACCTCCTGGACTTGAACTCAAGGAGAATGTCTCCATTATTTCAGGATGCACATCACCACATGGCTTTGCCTTGTTCTCTGTTGTAGCTTGGCTGATTTCTGAGAATTATCTGCACATATTTCAAAAAATATGCTGTTGCAGACAATTTGGTTGTTGTTTTTAATCTTCTAGTGTTTTGCTCTGACAGATTTAGACTGTTTTAGAAACCTGGAAATCTATAACCTGAAGAATGGGTTTGTAACGGGGGAGTGAATGTTTGAGTGGGCCTTCTAGACTTTTCATCTCCCTGGTTAGACACAAAGGCTACCTGAAATCTGAGAGCAGGTTTTGGGGAGCCTGCCAACCTACAAAAAGAAGGAAAGCAGCAGTGACTAAAGGAAGAAACTCCTTTCATGTCGCTTTATCATCTTCCATGTCTACATAGTGAAGATACAGAAAGGGCAGCATCTCCAAGCTTACCTTATCTTGCTGCTCTTCCCCATATGTTTAATTTTAGCTCAGAATTATTTTTAAAACTTTCTGGTTACCCTGGTCTGTCTATTCTTCTTCAACATAGTATCCTCAGTCTAAAAATAGTCCTGCATCCACTGGGCTTGTGATCTGCACATACATTTGACTCAGCACAGCATGCTGCCGGCAAGCAACCAGCAGCCAGCCTTTTGAAAGCGTTTCATTTGTACGTGTAGGAGTGTTCTGCAGAAAAAACCCTCAGTACAGAGGAGGGGCACTCTCCTTCCCTCTCTGCTTCCATACCCAGAGGAGTGTTCAGACTTGTCAAACACTAATAAACAAGGTAAAAATAAGTGTTAATAAAGGCTTACAAAAAAAACCAGGCCTTGAGACGGCCAAATTAGATCAGATCAAGGCCCCTGTTAAGTCAAGTCTCTTGTCTTTGAATATGATCAAGAAAGGCTGCATCAGAGGTTTTCTTCAAAAAAACCCTGCAGCAGATAGTTATTGAATAACTTGATCACAGACAAGAAAATCTTTACTCAGTTAATGGGTGACTTATACACAGACTTGTGCCTCTCTTGAGGTAATTTTAACAAAGCAGTTTTTTACAGTCTGAGTCGCTGTGTTTTGATTTGCTGTACCCTTGTCTTTGGATGCTACTGTTTACAATAATAACATTTGGAATATGAAATCTGGCATGAGATAAAAGGCTGAAGGATCTCAGGGTAGGGCTGCCACCCTGTGCTGCAGAGAGTTCCCTGCAAATCAGCCTGTACCTAGGTGCAGCTGCACTCCAGCAGCTGAAAACTACAGCCTAAGCAGTCAAGGGAGAGAGCACCAGCCTCTCAGCCTAGGAATATTAAACAGCAACTGCTTCTGATGTCTCTCTATCATCATCTATGCAGCTCATCCTGAGATTGGCACTAACTGCACAGGAGCTTTAAATAACACTTTGAAAGGAAGTTGGTTCCCCCACACCCAGATTCAGTAGGGAAAAATGGAGGTGCTATAAACCTGGTGAGGCATGGGCAGGGAAGACAGCTCTGGAGCTCAGCAGAGCACTGCATGTTCTCCCTGGGCAGCCATGGAGCTGTGCCAGAGGGTGAGACAGTTGGGCTGTCATGGCTGCATCATGCTCAGATATACTCCAAGCAGTCAGATGGCAGGTTTGTGCTGGCTTAGCCTGGCTTCCGTTCCACAAGACATCAGATAGCACCTGCATCAGGGGACGGTGGGATGTGCTGCCCCTGACCTCAACCTGTGCTACAGCACATGGTGCTCCAAGCCCTGAATTGTGACAATGAGGGATTTCAGTATCTACTGGAACATCCACACTTCCTCTAACCATCCATGCTGAGGTGTTTTGGAGTCTGGTTAAGTCTCTCAACCTCAATAGCTTTGTTAGTCACTGCATGGCTACTTAGCAGCTACATGGAAAAACATTTTTAAAATAAGTTTCAAAGTTTTTGACTTTTCAATCCATACAGAACATAAAGGAGTCTGTATTGGGTGTCCCAGTCTGGACCATACAGTTCAAGGTAAACAAGCTCAAATCCCATCATATTAAACACAGCCATTTCCCCTGGAAACTTTGCCAGCAGCTGCTGGGCCTGGGGAGTCTGGAAGCAAGTCATGTTTGCAAACTGCTCACCAGGCACCAGATCTTGTCAGAGAGCTGCATCACTTCATACCTCTGTAAGTGACATATTGCACATTACTTTGTCACCCTTTGTCAGAGGATTGCTGTGCCATGATGGCTCGGAGGATGCTGCTCATGTGCACTGCAGACAGGGTGTTGTGGAGGATTCAGCTGTTCTGAGTTGTCACAGCTGGAACTACCAGATACTTGAACAGCAAAGTAGTGCAGAGAGGGCTGAGTGGTGAAAATTGGTATTTTTATAAAAAATAGAAGGCTTTGATAGAAATGTGGGTATATAAATTAAAATCTGAAAAATATGGAAAGAAATGAGCTACGGGAGTGGAAACCAGAAGGAAACAGCAAATAATGAATGGGCAAGTCAACCAGAGAAATTGTATGTATATAAGGTGGAAGAACTGAGGCCACAGGGTCTGTCTGCCTCTTTACATCCCTGTGCACTGCACATTGAAATGTGAGCAAGGCACAGAGCACCTGTGCCTCTGTGGAAGCTGCTCAGCCAAACCTTGTCTCATCTCCAGTGCCAGACACAGCTCTATCCAATGTGTGCAAGCACATATGGACACTCAAAAGAGAACATTTTAAAAAATCTTACTGCACAGACCATGCCAGCACAACAGCATTTGGAAATGCTTTGGAAATACATTTTGAAAAATATTTTCTGTTTTGCTCTTGCCTGGTGGCTATGCAGACTGTGCCAAATGTGCTTGCTCCCCACTGCTAAAAATGCAGCCTGTGATACTCCTTATAAGCTTTTAATGAAGACAGACTTGATTTCAAGTTCCACCTTCCTTTGCTTTTCAGAACTGTTGGACTGTCCTGGTGCACTAGTTCTCTTCATCTTCTGCACTTCTCTCCTACCTGTGAAATCCTCCACTGCCAATGATTTAACATGTCTCTGCCATGTCACCCACATCCCAAGGTACTATATAATCATTCACTGGCATTCAGAATTTTATTAACTCTAAATTTAGCTCTTGATCACCTGTGTTTTGGAATTTTATACCGGTTTTTCAAGGGAATTGCCTCTTTTCAAGGCACTAGCGTAGGTATCTATTTAGTGGGAACTTGATTATCCATCACTGTGATATCAGTCAAATGACAGTGTTTATCTGCAATTAACCAGTGATAGATGAACCTCCCAGAAATATAAAAAGAACAACATTGTGCAGCATGTGATGATTTTCATTATATATTCAACATTCTGCAGCATGATGCATTACAGGAAGTTCCAATTTTTCTTTTCAATTGCTTTGAAAATCTAGCAGCATGCACCTCTGGGAGGATTCTCATTTCATTCAAGGCACATTCATTTAAAATGGATATGGAAAGGAGACAGGACAGCTGAGTAAATGGTATGGAATGAAGAGGGGGAGTCATGAACAATAGATTCGATTTTCAGTGCCATGACAACAATTTCTGTACATGAGGTATGTGAAATTAGGCAAAGTCCTGCTGCAGAGTGGACAAGTTGAGGCACTGAAGTAATTAGGAGATGGGAAAATGTGTAATAGGGAATTTGCTGTGCTGGCCAAAGCAGACAGATTCTTGTTTACATTAGGGTCCCACTAAGAGCACTTGCCAAGCACAGCAAAGGAGTGTTCTTAGTAGAATGAGATTGGCATTTCAAATGTACAGTCTATCATGGCCTCCAGTACAATGCATCAGGCTCCACTCTTTTTGCCTGAGAGGGCTCTGTTGATTTAAAACTATCTGTCAAGGATGTGCTTTGTGGAAGCCACATTTTGCCACACAGTGAATACTATTATGCTTTTGTGAAGGTCTGCTACCTTCATCTCACAAGATACAACTCACTTCACATTCTCGTGTGTATTGAAAATGGCGTCTTGTTCTTGTACAGAGCAGAGCAAGCTCTGTGCAGTCCTGACAGGGTGTTGATAAAGCATCACACCAGCATTAAAAATTAATGTACTCTCAAAGGCTCAGATCTAAGCTAAATTAGAAACAATTTCTTGAAGCACTTTCCCTCAGTAAAGATTCCTGTGATTAGCCACTTCAGAGACAGAGTTATTCAAAAGTATTTTACATTATTAGCTTTTCTGGAGGTCACCCCTTTATCATGGCAATAGCGTGCTTCACTATGTGCTTCTCATTCAAGAAATGAGCAATACTACTTTTGTTTACATACAAAACTTAATCACCTCAAGCACAGGGAAGCAATGGAAGACTTCAAACTAACATGAAAATCTGAGAAAGCCCTAAAAACTGAAACTGGATATTCAGGGTATAAATATCTAAATAATTTTTACCATGTATTCCATTAGTACTCCAGATAGTCTAAAAATGATTGTACTCCAGGCAAAACACAAAAACAGAGGTGTGTTTACCTATTTGAGCACATTGTCTAACTATGTGAAACCTAAGTACAAGAGAGCAGAGAAAGGGAAAAAATTAGAGTAGGAACGGAAAACCTGAGAAGTCCATACTATGGATAAGTCTTATTTTTTCTCCTCCGTTAGGGAGAACAGCTGCGAGTGGCATGACTTTCCCCTTTCACCTCAGCCTCCAGACAACACACTGATATTTGGCAGTTTGACTGTGCCCTCTGCTGTTAACAGGAACACAGGAAGGACTTACATGTCTTGGAAAGGGTTTCTTGCCAAACCAAACTGGATTTGAGTTTGGAATCAAACATTTCTTCAAACTTCTCAAAGCACACTTTCAGCTGCAAAAACAAAGGCAAATGGGAAAATTAAAACATTGCCTTTTCTTTCTTTGCAAAATCACAGCCCCAGATGCCACAGAACAATGACTGCAACTCATGGAATGGAACAGTCTGAAAATGGTTGTTTATCTGTCACTTGAAACAATTTGTACAGCTGCTGGTTGCAGCCCCAAAGAAGATCTGGGATGGCTCAAAGGCTCATGAAATCTGAACAGATTTAAAAAAAGAGATACTGATCTTTAAAATAGGATAAGTAATAACTAATGAAATTAATTATTGAAGTGTTGGGGGAGAGAACTTCACCTTCCGACCACAATGACTAATCCTGATGAGACTGCTTTCTTCAGGCAGAAGGGGAAAAGAACTGGTATTTGCAAGCTGTCACTACAGCTTGTTTTGCTCCAGAGACCCCGAGAAATTCCACCACTGGCTCTGAGGCAAGTCTCTTTAGAGACCTTGACCCTAAGGCCACAAAGGCAATGGTATATACAAAAAACCTTATAATTGTTGGTTCAAAGTATTTGAGTGTTTAAGACACATAATGTAATATTTTATATATCATCATGGCAAAGGAGAGAAAGTGAACACTGAATGATCTGCAGTCTTTCTAACTCTTCATTATTTTACATCCTGAATTTGAAGTAACTTACCTCTTGAAGCCTGTCTTTGATGCTGGAAATAAAGGAACTTAGGATTTCACTAAAATGGAAAAAAACAAACAAGTATGAACCAGAAATGTAATTTACCAAAATGTTCAAAAATTGAAAAGATCACTGTAAAAATGAGACAGGAAACACTGCAAGGCATGGTGTAGTATGAAATGTTAGCATGGAAACATGATTACTTTGGGGGGCATAACCCTTTGAAGTCACCTCAGTTGTTTTAGGAAAACACTGACTCTGTAACGTAAACTAAGAAAAAAATACATACACCCTCATGTCCATATATGTCATACATATGAAGTTATGGGGGTTTTACTCTCAGATTTTTGGCCTCTCTATCAGATTTTTAGTTGGCATTTGCACAACTGGCCATTAGCTGCTGGGGTGTGATCACCATGTTATCTGCTTCAGAAGGACCCAGCCGGCGCGGTGACCTGCCAGGTTGCTGCAATACATGGGTATTGTGTTTGGACTAAAATAACTGGGAAAAACACGGGAAAAGCTTCAGCATCAACAAAGCCCAGGCCACGAATAACAAATACTGCAAATCCTTTTCTCCTGAGATTATGCCTGTGGTTTCTGTTATCTATCCTTTTAAATTGAGACAGAGTATCAGGAACTAGGCTACATTCATGATTAACCTGCCACACCAAAATGCATGGATGGTTGCTAAGCAAAGTGATAATCTTTTCCTCTCTGAAGATTTGGGTCATTTTAAGTCAATCATTAGAGTGATCTAAATTACAACAGCAAAAATTATGGAGAGGCCAGGGAGAATCTAGTTATGAGAATTAGGAAGTGCTTCTGAAATCTCTCTAGCCTTATGGAAAGGAAGATACTAATTTTCTTAGTCAAACTTGTGGGGGATACAAATTGATAAATTATACACTTATCTTTGTAAGTAAAAAAAAAGATAATATAGTTATTTCTAAAAACAGGCTTCTAACCTGGGAGGAAGTCTGGAGTGTAGGAAGTAGCATATAGAAAAGCATTTAAAGAAAAAATAAAGAAAAATTGTAAGTGATGTCTAAATATTTAAAACTACTTTCTCATTTCATTACAAAAATCTTCCTGTAATAGGCAATAGAGAACAAAATTTTGTCTTATCAGAAACATAGTGCCCATTGAAAAGGCAAGAGAGATACATAGCCAGATTTGATCAAATGCTTTTAATAAAAACACACTTCAATTTGGATGTTACATTACAAGATGTACAGTGCTAAGAATTATTTATAGGTGCACTGAGGAGTTTGCCATATTTCATTTTTGAGCTTCAAATTGCTGGCTTGTTCCTTAAAGTCCTTCATGACCTACAGGTACATGTAATTCTTGACATCTGACAAAGAGTAAATTACATTAGCAAATAACTTGTCTGTTACAAAAAAAAAAAAATACATAAAAATCTTGTATGGAAATAAAATTCTAGAGATGTGTGCAGGTTTATGAAGATGTAATCTGCACACAAATGTGTTTGGCAATCCCCTCATCTGGCCCAAATGTGAAGGCCATCCTCAGAATCCCTTTTATCAGTCCCCTCATAGCCTACAAAATTTTGAGAAATAAGAGTTTTAACAGAGAATCAGTACAGAAAAAAAAGAAACAATGCTGATTAGATAAAGAAAGACAAAAGTAAATTCAGGGTAGAGTTTTGCTGTTCCATAGGTCTTAAAACTGAATGTGTTACATAAATTGCAAATAAACCCTATTCTCTTACCTTGTGACTCTTTCCAATTAGAAATTATTTAAAATCTTAAAAATACTTTTCTTGGAGAAAAGATTTGTAAGAGAGGAAGAAAAAACTTCAGGGAGTGATAACCACCAGAAGAGAAAGAATTTACTGTGGATGTCTACATACCGGTCATATTTATCCTTTATTTTGTTCTTATTCACTTCAAAATTTTCCAAGACACTTTTCACTCTTCCTGTACCAAAATTAAGAGAACCTTTTTCTCTTGTTTCTTCATCAAATAACTGTGGTTTTGTCTGATATTTGGTAAAAATACTGGGCTCGCTCTGTGACACAAAACAAAAGTGTTGAAGTACAAAAATAATCAGAACATTAATTAGAAGAAACAATTTGTTTATCCAGTGCTTTGCAGACTGACATCACAGTGATTGGACATGTCAGATTAGATTGGATGAGGAGATTAAGAATTTTTTGAGATTATGCCTCATTTAATGTGCCTAGTTAGATCAACTTCCTGTGGAACTGGGATCCAGCCCAAATTCCTCCAGACACAGGCTTTTCTCTCATCTTGAAGATTTTCAGTTTGCTACAATTATAAGGCATGCAGGTTTTTTTTCCCTTCTATGTCCAAGACAGAGACTATAAATGAATTTCAGTGTTCCTGGAGTTGTGGAAAAGTTCAAGTTGTCAGTAGAATCTCTCTGTGCAGGAATCTAAAAAAAATCTTATTGAATTTCCTGATGGATTACATCATTTTGCTGCCAACTAGCAACATTGACAGACTGTAGATGAGTTTTTCACATGCTTCAATACACATTTTAGAACAAGAAATTTAATATTAATATGAATGCTTCTTTCTACAAAATTTCCAGACACTGTGTGACCAAAATGGAAATGCCTTTTCCTTAAAACATAAGAAAATGTAAATTCCATTTATTTTTTTTCATAGTGAAAAGTGCATTTCCTGTTTTGTGTCTGATGAAAACAGCTCCTAGGCAAAATGTATAGGACAGCAGATAGCATCTGGAACTGAAGGACAGCCCAGGGCCTCCAAGCTGGCACCACTGCTCTTTCCTAATCTTTGCTCCAGGTGTCTTTATTCAGATCTGGTTCTCTCTGTTAGCAATGCAGGAAGTATTTTAGTGGTGGCTGGTAACATCAGAAACCATGAGCTGTAGGAGGAACATTGTGAGCATAGAAACTCTTCATCCCTATCCAAAAACATCCAAGCACCTACCATAACAACAATGCAGCAAGGTCATTGTTAGTGCAGGGAAGCAAACACCGAGTAGCTCTCTCATTCTTATGGAAAGCTAAGAAAGTGAAACACATAACTTTTGAAAGAAAATAGATGCAGTATTCTAACTTGGTTAGGTAGGTGGTCTAAAGACATTACTTTGAGAATAATTTCATATTATCTTAGTAAATTTAAAAAATGTGATTGAAGAAAGTAATACCCATCTCGATAATAATTTATAGCAATCTGTTATAAATACCACATTCGTCTGACCACGCTGCTACTTTGTCTTGTCACAGTAAATATGTGCATGTAGGAAGAAGATAACTTGATTTCAGCAGTTACTGACATTTGCAAATGTTACCACCTGATTTCAGCATTTTCCATTAACTTTGAATGGTGGCTGTGTGCCTGCACAGCACTGACTGAGAGCAAGACTCACATCCTGGGAGTTCTGCTGTCCCGGCTGCGTGCCCAGCTCCAGTGGTGCTGCTGCCGACTGCACATTCTCCGGGCAGAACTGGGAGCCAAAGAGGAGCTGAGAATCACTCAGACTCGAGTAATCACTGGCAGTGCTGCTCCGCATGGAAAACTTATTAGGCCTGAAATGGTGCAGAGAGGGATGTGAATAAGTCTGGAGCAATTAAAAAGACAAACAAAATTCCCTACATGGCCTGCTTGAACTGCTTGGTCATGGCCCACACCAACATGTTAATTTTTACTCTCTGCTTGGAAGGTGCTGTTCCTATAATGGCATAAGGTAGAATTATAAGATAAACCAGACGGGTTATCTTAAACTAGCACATCCACACAAATAGAGTGTGGTAGTTTCACATTCACCTTATAGGAGCGAAGGTGTTTCTCCAGCATGTCCTGCAGACAAAAGACCAAACCCAGGACTGGGCATCTAAAACAGCTCATCCTACCTGCCTTGCCAGTCAGTCTTAGTTAAAGAGACATCTTGGGCTCCTAGCAAGTGCTGGGTCTCTCCCTTTCAGCTACTCTGAGTAACAATTTCTGTTGTAGCTCAGGTGTTGATTCAATGAATTGGAAGGCAGTTCCAAGAGAATAAAGCTTTCTGACTAATAGTTGACATTTCTTGGGCATTTGTTCCCCAGATGCCTTAAGTCTGACACAGTAGAACAACAAATAAATAGAGATAGCATATGGCTGGATGAACTGATACAAATTGTTGGAAGCATTTCAAACATATTAACATGCTGCTTCAAAAAAAACATGCTTCTTTCCCTTGAGCATTACTCAAATAAATCTTTTCTAGATACCCTTGATTTTCTGCTGTGTTGCTCTGATTCTACTCTTCTTCAGAAACACTTTTATACTCTTCTCCTGCTTTATGGACTAGGATTGTGGCACAGGACCAGCTTCCCTCAGACAAGGGTTTCCCTGCACAGCTGCATTTTTTCTCATTGTGTTGGAGGCTGGCTTCAGTATTTGGTTAGCAAAAATACATACAAAAGACTTCTTTCATTTTTCACAAAGAATTTCAGAATGGTTTGGGTTAGAAGGGACCTTAAAGATCACCTAGTTCCAATCCTCTTGCCATGGACAGGGACACCTTCCACTGTACCACATTACACAAAGTGCCATCCCTTCCAGCCTTGAACATTTTCAGAGATGAGGCATCTACAGCTTCTCTGGGCAACCTGTGCCAGTGCCTTATCACCCTCACAGGAAAGTATTTTGTCATAACAATCAATCTAAATCTACTCTCTTTCAGTCTAAATGATCACTATTCCATTGCTCCACATCCACAGGGTCTGGCAGAGCGTTTAGTTTAGGACCAAACACAAAACAAACTGTGCTGGGTTTATATTCTCAGTTCTTGTTTTTTTTGACCTACCAAGATGGAGAGATGTGTTGCTCCCTTTGAAGCTGAAAACTAGAGACCAAAATAAATGAAAATAACTAATGAAAATTTTGTGCAAGGTTTTTCTTCCATATCAAATAATATAAGTAAAGGAGAAAGAATTGGAGAATAACTCATGTGCATAACAAGAGATGATCACCCCAACATTTATTAGCTGTGATGTGTTTGGTTAATCCCTAGTTTTGGAAAGAGCCCAAACATCCTAGACACAACAGGGAAAGGATTTAGCAACAGTACTTGAACTGCTCAGTTTCCATTATATAGTAGTGTCACTGACAGTATCATATTAATACTTTTGGCTTTAAGCTCACTGAGTACACTGAGCTTCAGGCAAAAATAGATCAGGTATGGGTTTCTGGATTCTCAAAAAGCCTGATAAGTCTGTCTGAATTCAAACCTTCTCCCTTAATCTCTCTCTGGACCCCAAATCTGCTAAGAAAAAAATCTGAATACAATTTTACTTGCACAGCTTCTTGTTTCCATCTTAGCTAAGCTTTGTAAAAAATAAAATAAAATAAAATTTCTTAATCTACATGCAGTATGTGGGGGAGATGTGAGCACATGGGCTGCCATGACCACACACACAGGCACAGTCCCTGCCTGCAATGTGAGTAGCACATCTCCTGCACCAGTTTTCTAAATCCTCCTGTCTTCCAGACAAAAAAAGCTCCGTCTTGGTTTGAGGAAGGGTTTTTATAATCTTTAGATGCTTTACAGTCTTGACAAACCTCCTTTGAAAGTGTCCAGTACAATTGGTGAATATCACACCCCACAATATGCTCATTTTCTCAGATGCTTCATGTTATTTAATACCCGAAGCCCAAGATTCTTATAACAAAGATTTTATGAGGAGTATTGAGCTGAAAGGACTTTATGAGCCAAGGGACTTCCCAGGCTTACTCTGCACTACAACCAGAGACAGCTGTTGGCTGCACTGGAGCCCAGTTTTTCTGTCTTAAGTCCACTACCTCAGCAGTTGGTTTAGGAATCACGGTACTTTTGCAAATTAAAGGGGGAGGTGAAACAGATGTCTCTTTTGAATACACTCATTCCCCTGAGCAATGGATTTCTTTCTCCCTTGCTTAACACTGCTGGCAATTAATTTACTAACAAGACCATCTGGGCTAGTCATCAGCCTGGCCATGCTTGGCCCAGGCCTGTCCCTGACAGAGAGATCAGACAGCCTTGATCACATGTGGGATCAGATCTGTGATCAGGCAACTCCAGCTCTTCTAACCACATGACAATTCTCCTCAGAATGCCTGAGGTGCAGGGATGCATGTTCTGTCCTAAATATAAACCCTTTCCCATAAACAGCAAGGAAACATCCCAGGTATGCAATCCCACTTAGCAGTCCCTCCTAAGTGAGGAGTGCAATAGTTTACCTCAGGAGAACTTCTGGCTTTCTGCTAACATGAGCCATGCCCCAAATCATCCTTGTGTGTTGGTGCCCATAACATTCCTTTGGTACTGGCATTAGCATATGCATCCAAAGTAAAACCAACTTTAGATATGTAAAACAAGTTCTTGACAGCTCCAAAAAAATGGCTAATCATCCTCTGCTGACTGATGGTGAAATGATTCCATTTTCCTACCTAACTTACTGCAAGGTATTGCAATATTGGCATCTCCAACCCTTTCTCGTGATATGAGTGTGATCTAAAAAAATCTGCAGCGTTCTGCATATCTGAGGGGTCAGCTAGATCTTCCCAGTATCTGTTTCCTTGTTGTCAGTGGAAATTCCCCCTTTAGAGGAGGAGTTAGAACTTTCAGGAACTTCTTTCATTTTCCTAATTTTTCTAATTTCCATTCCAAATACTTTAGCACAATCACATACAAACATTCACCTGTCATTCAAAGGTTCTGCCTTACCTCAAAACAAACATGGCATGCCATAAATACCCTCTTCTTATGTTTCCTAGATGTTCTAGGGACATTGACAAACTAAAGCTTCATAACTGTAAATTGCCATAGGCCTAATCAATCTTTTTTTAAGAACTGATATTTGTATTCTGTTGTTTGGATCCATCCTAATGTGCCAACACCAAGGTTTAAGAGTCATTTGAAAAAGCAAACTGAAACTTCTACAATTTTCAACGTAACATTTATCTGCAGTGCTGCTTTAAGTGATTTTCTCTGGTTCTGTCATCCCCACTGAAGCTGTGCCAACATCTCTCTTCTTCTCAAGCACTGTGGGTGAAGCTCACTTACACCTTTCTGACACATTTCTTCAAAGTGCAGTAAAGCCTCTTTCCCAAAGAAGAGATCTTTCTCTCCTAGTAGCAGTGTCTTGAGTAGGATCAGTGCCATAGTCTCTCTTCTCCTGGTTCCCCTCCAGAAAATCTCTCAGCCCTTTCTGCTTCTCCTCATTTAGGGACCAGGGGTGAATCACAACAAATCCAATTTAAATTCTGGGAACTGCCATTCACCTGCTCTTCCTCCTGGCTATAGCCTGTATCTATAGGAACTGTCTCTAGCTCTGCTATACTGCTCTCATCCTCACTGTCAGCTGCCTGCCAATGTGCTCAGCAAATGAGCAAGGATCAGCCTTGGCTTCGGGTGCAGGGGAGCTGGAGGGGTTTAAATCAAGGAGTTTAAGCTGCTATTGCAGCCTCCAGCCATTTGCCACATCTTCACTGGAAACAGTCACAGCAGAAAATTATTCTTCTGCTTCCTTATTATTCTGGCCTCTGGAATGGCATGACCTGCTTGCTGCAAATAATTTGCACCACATCCTAAAAGGAATTTCTACAGATTCTGGCACTGGCCCTAATGCATTAACCACGATGAAATCCCTCTCAGTTATTCAGCTCAAACACTGCCTCCAGTTTCCAGATTTCAGGTTCGAAATCCCTCTGGTCTTATTTTAATTTCTCAAGGTTATTTTTACTTTCTATTACTTTTTTCATTGTTCATTCAGCTGTGATTCAATGCTACCCAGATATCCTTACTTTGGAATCTATGCTAGTATTTTGTCCTGAGCTGGTTGCCAGTTACAACAGAGCATTTGCTTTAAGAAGAGATTGGGATTTCTGCAGAGTACTCCTGTTTGCTCCCACAAAATGCATCCCCAACCATATTAAAAGTTATGCATCTGGAGACAGGGATCTTTTTTGCCACACCCCTCTCTAGCCTGAAGCTATCTTCCAGCCTGCACTCATAGCCCCGGTTTCTCATTCCTGTGAGGCTCTGGAAATTTACAGCTGCTCTCCTGGTCTTTGTCCTGGCTGTCTCCTTCATTTTCTGCTTATTCTCAAACCTTAATACAACTTTCAAACTAGGTGACCTTGTGATGTGGGATGGAATTTCATGGGATAATGGATTGAATTAGTTTTTTAAACTTGGAAGTTATTCTCAACAGCAGAAATAAACCACAGAGAGTAGTGGCCCAAGTAGGCCTTAACTTCAAGCATCCATTTAGAATGTCTCCTTAATATTTTCATAATTTCTTGGCCTTACTCTCTGGCAGGCTTTCTGCTTCTGATATCTTTGGAAGACAGTATATGAGTAGCTTTTATGCATTTAGCAAGTTATTTCTTTTGTCATGGTACAAGCAATTTCTCATAACTTCAATTTCAAATCTAAATAATCAAGTCTAAATAATCTTTCTGCCTCAGGCAAACATTTAACCCTTTGGGCTGTACAGTTTAATTTATTTTTAATGAGGTTTCTTATTACTATTCCAGAGTATTTTTTATTTTAATTAACAGTAGTGGATTTTTTGGCTTCTGCTTCTCCTGCAGAGATACTGACTCCATTTCCTTACTGCCACTCTCATGGTAGCACTACAAGAGTAAATAGCCTGAACAGGGATCTTGTGCTCAGTTCAGGGCCAAAGCAAAATGTGTCTCTTCTCCTGGGAGCTCCCTGGCCAAGGCAGATATTGATGGTGTGTGAAAATGTACTTTCAGCATCACACCCCTGTGATGCTTACCCAGTCAATCAAAGGCTGATTGAAGCATCACTGCTTTTGTGGCTGCTGTTCTTGCATCCTCTGTGATCTCCCTCTGCCAGCCCTCCTGGCTGGGCAGGAGGCAGCACCACTCTAATGTGGCACTTTCTCTAATGAAGGCTGGCATTTCAATCCATAAAAACCATGTCCTTTGTCAATACACTTCAACTGAGACTATGTTTTCCCAGTATAGCTGTCATGTGCCCCCCTTCCACCCTCTAAAATAGCTGGCATCTTGATATTAATGTCCAACCTGATAATCTTCACTCTGCTTCATTTTTAGTATCTCTATTATGTCAATATTCATATATAAAACCAGATGGAACAGGGGTTCTGGTTCCCCACACCCTATTTCTCAGAGAAATTTCTCAGAGAATACTTCTGCAGAGAAGCGCTGTTGTGTCTGACAATTAACAAATAAAACCCTGAGCATTTCTGGGCTTGTACAGAGCTGTGGCTGTGAGAGTAATGCATCACTGGAGCTCTGCATTTCCTGGGGACCTGGTGGCAGCTGCTCTCAGAAGTAACACCCTGACTCAAACTTGCAAAGAACTCACAGAGTGAGTCATACACTGCCTAGATTATACGCTGATTTTATGTTTCATTTTTAAAGCTCCCTGAAAGAGTTTTCTGGGGATTAAACAGCATACCCTGCTGTGGTGGGAAAGGTTTCTAGTAATAGAAGTGAGCCAGGGAAAAGTAATCAACACTTTTTCCCCCTGTTTCAAATACACACACACACACACACATGTTCCTGTGGGAAAATTTTCTTTCCTTTAGAAAAAGTTAATTGTCCACAGAAAATTTTCTCCCCCTTCTTACCTCCTCCAAAAACCCAGCTGCATTTCCAGTAACATTTTATGCCCTATTTGACCCTTTTGAACTCACTTGTAAAAAATGTGGAACGCTGAGGAGTGGGTGTTAAAATCTTGCCTATATTTTCTTCCTGCATTAATAAATGAGTTAAAAGGGAAGATGCTGTAGGTGATAGACTACTTTGGAGGAGGAAGAAATTCAAGTGATCCCTTTCCAAACAGGTATCTGTACTTCTTCCACTCATTTCCTTTCCTATGGCACAACTCCACAGAATTATTTATTTTAAAAAATAAAATAATAATCTTACATATCTTGTATATAATATAAAAATGTGATTATCTATTTTATATATAATATGATGTCTTTTTCATATATTCTCTAAATTTCCCCTTCTCAGTCTCTGACAGAAAGGAAAGTCACAGGTTTTCAAACTCAGAAAACTAAAAGAAACACCAAAAAACAAATAAAATAAATCCACAAGTACCAAGAAGACAATAGAGTTAAGCAATGCTCAATTATAAAGACAAAACTGTGACAGTTATAAATACGTTTTTCCCTGAATTGGCTCCTCTTTGCCCCCTGCATCTGTGCAAAATTAAATTAATTCATATCTATATGACAAGCATTTTTATAATGGGCAAGAAAATAACTACTATGTTTTCATTATCATCCATCATTGTGGTAACATCTGGCCAAAGAGACAGTATGACTGAAACTGTGAATTTGAACAAGTTAGTTATGTAAGTGGGTTATTTAACTAACAGAGGATCAGAATACCAAATTCATCAATTTGCTTTTCTGGAGTCAAACAGGGGATGAGTCCCACTGCCTTTTTTAGCCATGTGATACAAAGGATGCTCTGAAATACAAACTGCAGCTTGTCTTACATATTTGCCCTCCAGATGTTTACATCTGAATATTTGTTGTTTCACTGTAGATTGTAGATGTGGGGGTTTCTAGCTGCTCTTTGGCTTCTGCTGGGAAAAAACAAGCCATGTGTATAAATGCAGGATATGGAATAATTTTTGAGTTACATAATGTGCAATAATATTGCACATCACGATTCGTTCTATCTGCCCTCTGCACAGGCAAAAGGAACACTTCACTTATCTAATGAGATGAGGACAGCTCACAGGGCTTCCCCAAATGCACCCTGAATGGACAAGGGTACAGATTCCAGCCTATGCTGATTTTTAGATTCCCACCAATGGTAGCTCTATGGTGGTGCTGGCAGGCTGGGAGCATAAACAGGATCCCAGGGGAGGCTAATGAATTCCCATTAGATTTCCCTAATTAGCCACAGATGAGTTCTGGACATGTTTCATCTCACTGCCATCACCCTTGCCAGGTGTTTGGTTTTATACCCCATCTCCTCTCCATCTCCCCATACTCATGCTCACCCAAGGGCTGTTGGTGTGCTCAGCATCTCCTTGATGTTCCAGACGTTGAAGTTCATGTTGTTGTCAGGGCTGACACCCCGGCAGGGAGCCCCCACACCACACCATGGCCCTGGCCCTCATGGCCTCTCCCCACCAGCAGCAGCCATGGTGCCACAGAGCCCTGCAGGGAGGAGGGAGATGGAAGGAGATGACCAGCCCCACTCAGGGCAGAATTGCCGGTGTCCTGTGGCTGTGGGGGCAGCCCAGGGGCACACGGCCTTGCAGGCCCAGGGCAGGCCTGGGAGGCAGCCGACCACTAGGCCTGCCCACCTGTGGGGCCTGAGGGGCCTCAGTGCCCTGGGGCAGCCCCTGGGTCTCACCCCAGGGCTGGGGGTCCCTGGGGTCAATCTAGGCCTGAGGGTCCTTGGGGTCACCCCAAACTGGGAGGTCCTGGATCGCACTCTGAGGCTTGAGAGGCCTGGGTGCCCTATGAGGGTTCCTGGGTTCAGTTTGGGGTTGAGGGTCCCTGGATTTCACCTCAAGGCCAGAGGCCCCTGGACCTTACCCTGAGGCTTGAGATACCTCAAGGTCCTATGGGGGTCCCTGGGGTCACCCTAGGACTGAGTGTCCCAGGCTCCTTCCCTGGAGCTGAGAGTCCCAGTGGTCACTCAGTGCTGAGGGTGCCAGTGGTCACCTCAGTGCTGAAGGTCCCTGGATCTCACCCTGAGGCTGGGGGATCTCTGGATCTTACCCCATGGCCATGAAGCCAGGATCAGCCCCAGCTCCAGTCACTCTGCAAGCCAGCCACTGCCCCCCACCTGGAAGCACAGCCCTGGGCACAGGGGCTCGTCACGGGACACTGGGAGGAAGAAAAAGCTGAAGCTTGGAATCTGGCACACTGAGGGCTGCTCCCATGGGAGCACATCACCCATTTCCTTCATTTCCAGAGGCTGTGTGGTCTCTCATGTAAATACCTCTGGCAGAAATGCAGAAGGATTTAATTTCATCCATCAGAAGTATGACAAAAATAACTACCATCTAAACATTCCCCAGAGAAACATTCTCAAATATGGTTTTACTGGATTTTTTGCCTTGTGGTTCTGTAACCCCCATGTTTAGGAATGTAAAACAGGCATGCCTGCTTGCCTATTTTTTCCTCCTTTAATTCAAAACTATTTCAGTACTAGTTAAAATGTTTGTTTCCTGGCTCTGAAGATACTCCTTAAGCACTAAACCACTGCAGAAATAAGGTTGACATAAATTCATGGATAGATCAGGGAAGTTACTTACATTCCCCTTTATTCTCTTTTGTCTTTAGGATTAAAGGCAGCCCAGAGCTCAGGGGTGTCAAAATAATGGCTTTCTTGATGTATATATCTGGTTTCCTAATCAAATCCCATGTAGATAAAGCTTTCACTTTAGATAAAAAGATAAAATTCTGGCCTTTTACCCATAAAAAACCTTATTGGAGCAATTTCACTGCATTGCGTTGCTTGACATTACATCACTAGAGTTGGTTTAAATAGCTTGGATTAATCAAGGCAGCTTGATACATCCCCGCTAAATGAGAAGACTCTGATGGGTTGATTTTCTAGGACCAGAGTAGAGAGTTGCAGCCTGGACTTCAGGGATGGGGTAGTGGCTGGGCTGTCCAAGGCAACCGTAGGCTGGAAGGCAAAACTTCCTCCAGAGTGCCAAGCTGATGGAAATGTTGATGTTTATCGTGATTTTTAAGTAAATAAAAGCCTTGTTCTGCTCCTGAACTGCCTACGGCTCTGTTGTACAGGGCCAGTATGTGGCACTGCTGCCAAGAGCCTTGCTGTGCATCCAGACCCTATATGGCCCTGCATCATAAACAGTGATTTTCCACTATTTTATTGCTCACGATTGAGAAGTTGGTTCAGATCTCCCTGCAGAAGAGACTGTAGAGTCCTGTACCCATTTGCAGTACTTCCACTGCCATTAGAAAAGGAATTGCTGGTGCTGTGTGCACTGGTGATAAGGCTCGACATGTTATTTTAGGTACTTAGAAAGAGCTATTCCTATTTCTGATGTGGCTGGAGCCTTCTGGTATCAGCGTCTAGCAAGTTTGTGGAATATGATAAATGAGATTTTTGTATTTCCATCTCTCCTGACAACGGAAAGAAATTTCTATACGGAAACACATTTTTTTAATTATAGGTCTGACAGCTACCTCCATTTCCATCTCCCCCGTCCATAACAAGCTCTGGAGAGATTAACTACGTTGCCAGGCGCTGGCTCAATAGCTCTCCTTATATCTGAAATAACAGTCTGGGCTTCTAGCACTAGGGAGGGTAGCCAGATACCTGTAGTCTTTCCTTTAGTAAAAATTAGCAGAAGCTTCCAGGAGATAGACAGCAATATACTGTTTCAACTTTTTTAACTTCATAGCACATTTCATTAGAAATTCATAGCAGCTCTTCAGTTAATAACACGTCAGTCTGCAAAAGTGGTCAGGACCCTCATCTCTCCATTCCTGAGATGTCCTCTAACATTTTCCTGGTAAATTTTCTCCCTTCATTCAAATGGAATTCTGGTCTTGTGCTCAAAAGCAGAGATAGAAAAGAGTGAGAAATCCACACTTAATGAGGATTTTAATAAGCCCATTCCACTCAACTGGAGAAGCCAAGCCAAAAGGTACTCCTGTGGGTCAATGAGCCAGGAAAGTTTATACAGGAGGCAAAATGCTGTTGATAGAGGGGCGAACCCCTCCGGGGCAGGGATCATCAGCCTCACTGCTGGAAACACCTTCCGAGCTCCAGCTTCCCCCTCCAGCATCCTCCAGGTCTTGCAGCTGCCACCACCTTGAATTTGGAAAAGTAGCCTTGGGCACCCCATCAGCAGCAGGGAGCTTGTGAAGTTGGCACATAGGGATGTCAATTTGCCAGTGACTCAGCATCTTGATTTATCCCATTCATGCGATGCTCCTGCGGGAAAAGCTTATTAATCAGGCTTCTGTTTTCAATGCAGCTCCGTGATTTAGAGGCCCCCATGACTAAAGTTTTAGCAGGAGTGGAATTATTACATGCCTTGGTGGCTTCTGGAAAGAGCTGTCAGGGTGGGGAGATGTACCAAAGTGGCAGCAAGGGGTCTATCACTTTCCAGGACCCTGAGAAGGACAAACCCACCAGGGTTTGAGCACAGGCCAAACTCACAGAAATACTCACAGAAAGCTGAAGCACATTGTGCTCAGAGGAGGTGTCCCTCTGTCCAGCCCCCGACCACAGCACAAACCACTGACCTCCCTGGCTGCCAGCGCATCCTCCCAGCTCTAATTTGGGGCTCACTGTTGATGCTGGCTCTGGCACAACAGTGGTTTCTATGGAAACTTCAGAGGCAGATGCAGGGATGCTTCCAGCTGAGGTACCACCAGCCTAGGTATCCCAGGTTGTTCCTCCCAAATCACAGGCAAACACTCATGCAGCACATCAGGACGGACCCTGCAGTTACTGTGCCAGGTGGGCACCAGAGGCAATGGAGCAGCAGCAATAAAAAGTCTTCTTTTATTAATTTATTAATGTTCTTTTATTAATAATTTCCAACCTTTCCCATGCTGTGATGCCCCCAGGACATGGCACAGCCTGCCCCAGCAGTGTGTCAGATGCTGCCGCACTCTGATGGGATTCAGTCTTCTGTCTCTGCAGCCTTGCAGCCCACCCAAGACTCAAGCTGGCTGTCTTCTCTGAAAGGTCAGGCATCTGTACGTGATATTTACCTGGGCTTGTGAGATCTTTCTAATGTACCAATGAAAGATCAAATCCCACACCTACTTTCTGCTTTGGGTGTGGGACTGTGTGGAGCCAAGAGCAGCAAGGCTCAGGTGAGCCCATAGCAGAGGGTAATTCAAGTGTCATCTCCCCTTGATCTTGCAGTGCACCCCTAAACAGCACCCATAGACACCACCAGTACAAAGCTTGCATTCCCTTCCTTGTTGCCAGTAAGCAGGACTGCAGTGCTCCTGCCTACAGAAGCTGGACACAGCTGGACTCAGCTCTCCCCCACACCAGCTATGGTCCATCCTTTGAGATGGGGCTGTGGTGCTGGATAGGTCCCACAAGCCCTGACATTAGGCATCTCTTATTTCTTCTCAGCATCTTGGCAGCCCTCAACATTCCCTTCCTCTCTCACGTTTTGGGTCCCTTCAAAAAAGTCCCTCTCCTGCTGCTGCCTTCACCCCTCACAGCCTCTTCACCCACAGGAGGCCAAGCAGGAACAAGGCTGTGCCAAGGCAGGACAGCCACTGCTTAGTTCCACCTCTCCAAACAGGGACTGGATCTCTACATCACATTGCTCTGCTCACCCTGGAGGTGGGGAGAACTAGAGTTACCCCTGCTCCACAGTATGGGGTCACTGAATTCTGCCTTGGGAGGGATTTTCCTGACAGGCTGCAGCATGTGTCTGCCTGGAGTAGGATAACCAGAAAAGACATGACTCCAGTGGGATAAAATTCCACATGATTCATTTATTTGAGGTGCTACATCACCTCCCAGGCACTGAGCTACAGGCCACCTCTGTGCTACATGAGACATCGACTGGGTCTACGACGACACAGCACTCACTGCTACACACACGGCACGGATACGCCGTGGCACAGATGGGGCCGGACAGGGCAGTGAGGCCAGCGGCAGTCCTGCCACCACTGCTCCCTCCACACTGCCGGCGATGGCCATCCCACCAGGCAGGAGTTTGCCCTGGGCTTCATTGCCACAGCGCTGCAGGAGTTGGGAGTTCCCAAAACCTCAGCTGCTCTGATGCCTGGCATCATGGAACAGAGGTTTTTTTGGAGCCAGGTCACCCTGGGTGAACACATGGGTGCTCACACACCCTGTCCCTGTCTTCAGGCACTTGGTGCTTGGCCAGGGCTGGTCCGTGGGGTCCCACTCAGGGCACATCACGCAGGCACAGAGCCTCGACAGCGCCACTGGGACCCTGGGCCACACCGCCGATGATGAAGAGCAGGCTGGGCGCTGGGCAGCTGGAGCAGGAGCAGCGGCCAGTGGGCATGGGGGGCAGCGGCTCCCACTTCTTCTGCGACAGGCTGAACCCTTCCACTGAGTCCAGTGGGCAGGACTGGTTCCCTGTGGAAGACACAACAACATCAGCCACTGTTCAGCTCCCCACCCCCCACTCCAGGCTTTGCCTTTCCCCCTCCACAACCCTTTGATGCCTCAACAGGAGCCCTGAGCTCCACAGGCTTTGAGAGCCCAGAGGCAGTTAGTGGGGGCACAAAAAGATTAGCAGAGTCCCCATAGGGATGGCTGCTGGTACTAATGCCACACTTGCGGGCTCTGCCCCCTCAAACA